AACTTCGGTTACACTCGACTTCTTTCGACATCCCAAACACACGGACATGGAAAACTTTCATTGTGTGCAATCTCAGTGGCACAGGGAGAGGGTAAGATTTACCCATGATCTGACAGCACTGGATCACTGTGCGTGGGCCTGACGGAGATTCTCTTGAAAACTAGCGTGGTAGTCAACGTGTTAACTGGGTTTGACGTATATACTCGTCATGAAAAAGTGGCATGATTTTGTCACGACCAGTATACTCGTCATGCATAAAAAGTATTGACCATTGGCTATTTAAATTGTAATTTTTGTGAAAAATATTCTAAAAATGAGTGAAAAGAAATTCAAGATTTGTAAATGACTATTTTTTTTAATTTTTAGTTCATTTTATCCTCAAAATGAGCAGTTCCGACAGCAACGATGACCTGGTTTCGCCTATAATGAAGAAAAGACGTTTAGAAGAATCTTCATCTTCTGAAGACGTTACCGATAAAGAGATCGAGTCTGATACTCAAACTGATTCCAGTATATCTGAATATACTGACTCCTCGGACAACGAAAGTAAGACCGAAGACGAGGATACAAATGCTACGTGGAATATCATAGGAGGCAATAGAGAACCATTCCAATTTTCTGCGAAGCCTGGCCTGCAACAAATCGTACCAAAGCGTTTCAGAAATAAATGCATGTTTTATATGGAAAAATATTTAAATGATGAGCTTATTGGTATTATAGTAGAGCAAACTAATTTGTATGCTAATCAATTTTTACAAAGCCAACCGAATTTAAAGCCGCATTCAAGAATGAAGAAATGGTATCCGACGTGTAACAATGAGATTAGATGTTTTATTGCGCTCTTGATCTTGCAGGGCATCGTAAAAAAGCCAACATTACAAATGTACTATTCCAAAAGGGAATGCATTAGTACACCTTTTTTTTCTAAAGTGATGTCACGAGACCGATTTGTATTATTGTGCAAATTTCTTCACTTCGAAAATAATCAACTTTACGATCAGAAAAAGCCAAAAACTAAGATGACTAAAATCAAAACGGTTTTGGACAATATTTTAGAAAAGTGTCAAAGTTTATATATTCCGCAACTTGATATTTGTATCGATGAGTTACTGCCAATGTGGAAAGGACGATTATCCTGGAAACATTATATCCCATCAAAAAGAAATCGGTTCGGTATAAAATTTTTGGTCTTATGCGAGAGTGAGTCAGGATATGTATGGAATTTTTTCGTATATAGCAACAAAAATACTGATTATGACCAGCGTTATTTAGAATTTAAAATTTCTGAACGTATTGTGCTTCAGTTATGTAGCGATCTTTTATATCGTGGATACAGGCTATATTTAAATAATTGTTATACTAGCATTCCATTGATAGAAAAATTATGCGAGTATAAAACAGACGTGGTTGGAACTATTCGCAAAAGTAGAATTGGCATTCCTTCAGATGTAATCAAACTGCCTATTAGAAAAGGCGAATACGCTGTTAAGTTTAAAAATAAAATTATGTTAATGAAATGGAAAAATAAGAGAGAGGTTTATCTCGCAAGTACCGTTCATAATGATAACATGATAAAAATAGAGAAAAGAAAAATAATAACAAGAAAACCAGAAGTAGTGATTGACTACAATAAAAAAATGGGTGGAGTGGATTTGAGCGATGGTATTATCATAGCGTATTCCGCAGTAAGAAAAAGACTCAAGAAGTACTATAAAAGAATATTTCTTCATTTGTTAGATATTATTTGTTTAAATGCTTTTATATTATATAAAAAAAATAATGGATCATTATCGCGAATCAACTTTTTGATGGAATTTGTTGAGGAAACTATTACTTCGTATCAAATACAAGGAGAAAAATCGACACAAACAATTCGGCAACCTACATATCATGTAACCCGATTAGTCGGGAATCATGTTCCGAATTATATACCCGGAACTTCAAAATCAAACCCTACGCGAAGGTGTTCACTCTGTTCTAAACGTAAGATCAGGAAAGAAACACGTTACTTGTGTACTACTTGCAAAGTCCCATTGTGTGTAGTACCCTGTTTCGGTGAATACCATTCCAAAACAGAAATTTAAATTTTTAACTTTATATGTATTATATATTCTTGCGTTTTTCATTAATTATGTAATATATGTGGGATTCCCCTTCTCCTGTCAGTCTTTCAAAAGGATATCTAACAAGTAAAAAGGAAGGAATTCCGCGATGTTGTCAATAGGTTGATATAGAAGGAAAACCTCTCTTCACGGATATGCAATATATTTAATATAAAGAAATAAAAATACAAATTAATGGTATAATAAAACGTCTTCTTTGCTTGGCTACTAAACGATGACTGCCTCTTGCTTTCTTTTCTTTAATTTATTTCTTTGGGCGACGATCTCGCTATCCCTAATCGGTTGTTTATTTTATATTGTTTATCTTTTGCCTGATTATACCCGATACTCTGGCCCATTCATGCTTAAGTGTTCTTACTCACACTCTCACATTCTCACACCCCACACTCGGCCATTCTATTATTTCTTCGGTCCCCGAAGAAAACTCTTCAAACGGTTTCATATAATCTACTGCCGTTGTGGTAATCTTTGGTCCTTCACCTTCACCCACACGAATCACTTCATATCTATTTTTCCCTTTACATCTAGATATCTTATACGGTCCTAGAAATTTCTTATGTATCTTTAATCCTGTACCGAATTGTGTGCGTTTTATCGCCACAAAATCGGTTTCATTGTATACAATCGCTTTCTTACACTTATGGTTATAATTACGCTGATTCTCTCCTTGAACTTTTGACAAGCTTTCTTTAGCTGACTGTCTTAATTCTAAGCGTTCGTCTGAAAATTGAGCTATTGCTTCCTTCTCTATTAATTTTAAAATTGTGAAATCTTCTCGCTGTTTCATTTTTTTACCAAACATTACTTCAAAAGGTGACGTATCTATGCTACGCTGATGAGTACTATTGATCGCTCTTTGAACTTTATACACGTGTTTATACCACTTATCTAGCACATCTATTGATAATTTAGTCAATACCGCAATAATAATGCGATTAATCCTTTCAACTTGACCGTTTCCTCTTGGTATACCGGTGGTAGTTAAAATATGTTCAATTTTTTCTGCCATACAATACTATTTAAAATCTGCCGATGTGAATGCTGTTCCTCTGTCTGTTACAATACGTGTCGGGTTACCGAACGTCCTGTGCTGTATCGTCAGTTTGTCTATCGTTTCTCGTGAAGTCGTCGACTTAGTTGGGCATAACCAAACAAACTTGGAAAATCCATCTACGATAACTAGAATATGTTTATACGTCTTGTTCGTGGCCGTCATTGGTCCTAAGTAATCAATATGATAAGTTTCAAAATGGTCTATCCCCCTTCGGTATCGGTTCTAATAGACGACCCTCTTTCTTTTCCTGTTTACGTTTTGCTAATATACACGGTATGCAACAACTGACTTTTTTTTCTATCTTTTCATTTAGGTTTGGTACATAAAATTCCTCTTTTACTCTTTCGGCCACCTTACGTACAGAAAAATGCCCATTCTCGTGAATCCTTTTAATTACATTAGCTTGCATGCTCGTAGGCAACACTATTACCTTTTTGTCGTTTACAAGCTTCATTAAAATATTATTTTCTAAAAGATAATCTTTGTACGGTTACTTTTCGACTATTTGACGTATAACCGCAACCTTTCTTCCTCTTCTTGTTTATTTCTAATATTCTGTAAAAATGTCTCCTCGATACACATAACTGGAAAACGACTAAGCGCGTCTACGCGCCTCAATCTTTCTCCTGCGCGGTGTTCAATTTCAAAATCAAATTCTTCTAATGACAATGTCCACTTCGCAACTTTAAGCGCTAAATCCTTCTTTTTAAGTGTCTTTTGAAACGCTTGGCAATCGGTAACTAATTTGAATCTAATCCCTAACAAATAAACTCGAAACTTCTGGACTGTCTTAATTATCGCTAAAATTTGCAACTCGTATGAGTTATACTTTCGCTTGGCTTCTGACGTTTTACGACTCATGTAATAATCTGGATGAAAATAACTTTCGTTGCTGTACCTTTGCAATAATACGGCACTCAATCCATCTATACTTGCATCTGTGTGTAATTCTGTTATCGCTTCGGGATCATAAATACGAAGTACCGGCTCTTTAGATAAAAGTTATTTTAACTGTAAAAATGATCTTCTTTCGGCTGTATCGAAAATGAATACCTTATTCGACTTTAATAAATCTGATAATGACCTTGCTATCTTTGCATAATCTTTAATGAATTTACGAAAATAAACTGTTAGTCCTAAACAATTGCACCTGTTTTTTATTTTTTGGTACCGGAAACTGTTGTACCGCCTCTATTTTCGCTGGCGATGGGCAAATACTCTCATCCTGTATTATGTGTCCTAAAAATTCGATTTTCTCTTGAAGGAATTTGCATTTCTTCCAATTTATAATTAATCCGCTCCGCGCTGCAACTTTCAACGTTTCTTCTAGCTTTTCACACGCCTCCTCGATATCGATGCCTGGGATAATGAGATCATCCATATATGTTATCACTACTTTGTTCCTTATCAAATCGCCAAAGATCTCATCGATAAATCTTAGAAAACAAGTGGGGCTGTTACATAATCCAAAAGGTGTTTTAAGGAATTCAAATTGACCGTCTAGAATAACAAATGAGGTGAACATACGGCTATCCTCTACGATTCTAACATGAAAAAACCCGTTTTTGAGATCAATTATCGAAAACACTTTTGCCCGTGTCAACGCATCGATACAGTCCTCGATCAATGGCATTGGAAATCGATCTCTTATTATCTTTGCGTTTAATCTACGGTAATCGATACAAACCTTATACTTTCCGTATTTCTTGGGTACTATACCACTACCGGAATACTATATTCGCTCGTACTCGGTCAAATTATTCCCTCGCTTAATCACTCGTCTACCTTCTGTGCTACTACCTCCTTTTCTTTTGTATTTGGGGCTAATCTCCTTGGCTTGGAACAAATTGGAATGTTATCTGTCAACATTACCTTAGTCACCGTTCGTGCGTCTATTCTAGTTAGTCTAGTCAAAATAGCCCTGAAATCGGGTTTTTGGCCTATACGGCTGAAAAAATATGGAAATAATCAAAAAAATGCGTACAAAACTGTGGGCAAAGTAAAAAGTTCTCAACCACCAGGAAAGGGGTGAAAAAAATTAAAAACTACCCCAAAATACGATTTTTGGATTATATGTTGAAAATATCAAAAAAAGTTTCAAATAAAAGTTGTAGAGCATAAAATTTTAGGCCTATCTCTCTCAGACCATTTTTCCCCTAAAACGCACCCTTTCATCCCTACGACGGTTCAAAGTACTAAAAAAATGAAAATTCAATAAAAAATATAAAAATTGGACTTTTAAAATTTTTTTTTTAATTATCTTTAAAAAACTACAAAGAACAATCGTAGGGAAAAAAATTTTGTTTTTTTCATCCCTTCTATTAAAAATCAAGGGATGAAAACGGTTTTTGCTCGATATTTCGCTTAAAACGGGTTATTTAAAAAAAATTTCTTTTTCATATGAATTTTTATTTATTTTTTAAATTTTGGTGTTGGATTTATATTTATAGATATTTAAAAAAATAAATTTGTCTCGATATTTTAGGATTTTTTGAAAATCATTGATATTTATGTTGAAAATAGTGAGAATTGAGAACATATACAAATGCTAATGAAAAATAAAACTCTTATAAGGTTTCTAGTCATTTAAGACATTTCATTTTCAACTTATTTAAACTCTATTATGTATCTTTACATATAAAAATAGAAAAAAAAAATTTATCTCCCAAGATTCGAACCCTAAAAGACTCAACCACTCGGAACGAATCGCCGAATCGTCGTCATTATACTAAACCTATTACATACCATTGCTTACTTCAGAAGTAAATTTAAACACTAGATAACATCATAAGCATTTTTAATTGCAAATATCTCAAAAATTATTGAGTAGTGGCCACTATAACCATATATATTCGTAAAAAGGGAAGCTAAATCTATCATCCTGCAAAATTTGAACAAAATCCGAGAGGGCTAGACCTTGCGCTGTCCTTGTCAGTGGTGAAACTTAATAAAAAATATCAGGTAAGAGTGTAATCATATTTTTTTAATATATCTCGAAAAGTAAGGGAGATAAAATATTGACTTTATGGATTCCTTCTTAATTGTATCGCTGGATCTTTCGTCCGATCGTCGTATTTCTACCCACCCTTTATTTATACAAATGTCTAACTCTCTTAATAGCCGGGTGCCAGTGACATTTTTTTGTCAGTCATTTTACCTCTGACCATAATTTGTAGAATGTTAAATTTAGTTGTGCTGTAAACATAGTGATCGTCAGTTGGCGCATTAGCGGTGGGTGGGCCAACGGGAGCACCGAAAACACGTCAAAAAATTTTTGAGTTTCAGTCATTTTAACCCGGCTAAAATTTATAGAGTTGATAGTTAATATAATTATTTAAATAAAAAAATTGTCAGCTGGCTGTATGTCGATGGAAAAGCCGTCAGCTGGCACAGTAAAAGGTATAGCGCGTAAATCGTATGCTGGCCGCCCGCGCTCTTTTTTGTATGAGCTGCATAGAGATACTATCTCTATGATCAGCTGACGGGCTTTCCACCGACTTACAGCCGGCTGATGACTTTTTTTATTTATATAATAATGTAGACTATCATTTTACGCGTTTTCATGGCTAGCTGACGGCTTTTTCTATGCTATTGACATTAGAACATATCCTTATTCTCCAGATTTGGCGCCGGCAGACTTCTTTCTGTTTCCCGCCTTAAATTACCCCTGAAAGGCTTACACATCGCAACGGTTTTGGAGTTCATGAGCGTGACCTCCGTGCTTCGAGCAATTCAACAAGAAGCGTTTGCTGACAGTTTCCAACAGTTGTACAACCGATGTCAGAAGTGCATTGTAGCCAATGGCGATAACTTTGAAGGCCAGTAAAGGTATTTTGTTTGTAACTCTTGTTTCCTTTATTTCCTGAGACCATTCACCGAACTTTTTAGACACACCATGTATATATAATATATTTATTTATTTCTATCTATGGCTATCGCATTAATTGATACAATTTGGAAAGTGATAGTTTTTGTCAATTACCCCCATCTCAAGATCATACTGGTGCCCTTTGATATATATGGTAACAATATTATAATAAATAAATCCTACAATTATCTTACTCCTGATTTTGTGTTTTCGTCTCATTTTCTTGAAACTTAATTTTTTGAAGATTTCACTTTAATACGTGTAATCTGCACACATGATATTTTGGGAAATGAAGGTTATCATGGTCGAGTGGCTCGTAAAAAGTTTTTCGTAAATGAAATGAATAGGAAGAAAAAATTGGAATTAGAAAATCGTAACATTAAAAGAGCAATGGAGTACTGAAATCGAGTTATTTTTACAGACGAGAGTAAATTTAATATTTTTAGATCTGATGGACACTGCACTGTATGGAGGAAAAAAAAATAAAGAGCTGAAACTAGAAAACTTGCTATCCACAGTGAAACACGGTGGAGGTTCTAACATATAATTGTTTGGGGCTGCAAAAGTGCAGCTTGTGTTGGCATGACCATGGTACCCTTCATTTTGCAAAAAATTACGTGCAGTTCTAGCAGATATATCAATATTTAAATTATTTTTAAGATGTTCGACTATTTTTATCGTACTTATTCTTGGATTCTGTTTTTATTCTTGTGATGAAACTCATCTAGTGTACTAATTAATTTTCCTTCAACGTCCATTTTGTAAGTTATTTTGTTGTTCTTTCTTAACTCTTTGGGGCACGGTGGGATTAAAAGTGTCCTACCTTTTTGATACATTGTAATGCACGGTGGGACATTTTTAGTCCCACCTCGAAATATTATTGCAATAGCTATACATGCTTATAAGTTTATATTTCATCTTAGTTACGCAAAACAATTGGTTATTAACTCTTTTTTTATGTTTTTACATTATTACATTATGTAATACCTTTATTAATATAAAATATACCAATTCGTTTCATTTAAAACTTAATCAAATTTCTATGCAACATAGGGCTTTTATTATCTGAAATTCTATGCCGCAAAGAGTTAATCCATACC